TCAGTCACCCACGAGTCAGGCCAAACAGCTCAGCCTCCTCTCAGAGGACAGCACGCCGCCCAGCACCGCTGCCGCCACCAGCCCGCCCGACAGCTGCAGCGGCAGCCGCAGCGGCAGCTGCAGCGGCGCCGCCAGCGCGGCCAGCACGCCCCGCGCTGGGGCGCTGTGCGACACGGCCGCACCGCCGCCGCCAACTGTGGCGCGCCCCGTCGCGCCGCCCGGCCTGCACCTGGCGGCCGGCAGCGCGCCCCGCGCCGCGGCGCCGGGCGTGCGGCCGCCCCCGGGGCTGGAGCTTCCGCTGGCCTGGGCGCCGCCGGCGCCGCCGGCGCCGGCGCCGCCAGCCCAGGCCCCGGCCTTCCTGCCGGCGGCCGGTGCGCCGCCGCCGCCGCCCGCGGCGTGCTGGCCGCCGGCGCCCGCCGCGTCGCCGTGGGCCCCGCCGCCCGCGTGGGCGCCGCTGGGCGCGCCGCGGGCCGCGCCGCCGGCGAGCAGGGGAGAAAGTGCGGACACCGCTGCCCTTTTCAGAGCCCCACATCATCAGGGGTAACTCGGGTTAGGGCTAACTCGGGTTCCTTTTCGGGAATCCGAACCCGACTTACCCCGGACCCGAGTTACCCCGGATAATTCGGGCGTCCAGAGCCCCACATCATCAGGGGTAACTCGGGTTATAGGGCTAACTCGGGTTCCTTTTCGGGAATCCAAACCCGAGTTACCCCGGACCCGAGTTACCCCGGGATAACTCGGGCGCCCAACCTTTGCCCCGCTTCCACCTTGAGGTGCGCATGGGCGGCGGAAGAAAACGGGGTCGACTGCGCAGACGTTCGCGCGCAGGCTTCCCGCGAAAGGGCCGCGCGTCAGCGCCTCCGTTTCCAGTGTAGCGTGCCGCGCTGACGGCCCGCGTGAGCCACCGCGCAAGTTCGTTGCCATCTCGCGTGTGACCCGTTTTTTCCATCACCTTTGTTGCTATCCAGCTGCTTGCGGTAAATCCCGCCACCGTGCCTGTTCAACAGCGCCGCAGCAAGGAGACTGAGTACAGGAACAGCGCAAATCCGACAAGTGGTATGATACGGATGGGCCGTGAATTCGCCCTCGTCTTCGTCCACGCGGTAGGAAGGAGGTCGAGTTAACTCCCCGCGGCAGTGCAGCGAGTCGAGTGATCCCGACATCGTCTTTGTCCGCGAGATTAGGAGGAGAAGGAGGAAGGGGAGGAGAAGGTGGAGGAGAAGGAGGAACAAACGGAGGTGGAAGAGGAGAAGGAGAGGGAGAACATGAGGACGAGGAGGAGAAAGCGTCTTGGGGCCCTCTTGGGGCCTCCTGGGGGCCTCCTGATCACCTCCTGGGGGGGCCTTTTGGGGGCCTCTGGTGGGCCTCCTGCGGCCTCTTGGGGGGCTCTTTGGGCCTCTTGGGGCCTCTTGGCCGCCTGACGCCTTCGGAGGCCGTCTTGGGGGCCTCTTTGCGCCGTCTTGGCGCCCGCTTGGAGCGCTTGAGGACTGTCTTGGGAGGTTTTCGGGTGATCTTGGGGTCCTCTTGGGCCCACTCGGGGCCCTCCTGGGGGCCTCATGGGCTGTCTTGGAGCTATCTTGGAGGCACCTTGGGCGGTCGGAAGTCCACACAGGCGAAACCTTTCAACTCCTGGAAAACGAAGCCCTCTTGGGCCGTCTTGGGAGCTTCGTGAGCTGCCTCGCCGTGGGAGCCTCTTGAGCCTTCTTGGGCCATTGAGAGCCCTATTGATGTCACCTTGCTTGGCCGCCTTGGGAGCCGTCTCGGAGGCCATCCTGCCCACTTGGAGGCCGACAAGAGCGCCGAGCAACGACTCCACAGGGTGCGATCTCGGAGGGACGTACGGCTGGGCCGAGGAGCGGGCCCCAGGAGATGGAAGAGAAGCTCCCAAGACAACAGCGAGCATTCTAGCACGCCAACTGGGCCCAGGGCCCGGTGGCGGATTAGGGTCGGCGTCACCCCAACATACACCTTAGGCGATGCTTAAGAAAACCCAAGTTTTCGGCCAGAGTCTCGATTATTCTTAATGCTTCAATGTAAATCCCAAGATTTTAATAGAAATGTTGGGTTTTTATTCAAGTTCTGAGACTATGAATTTCTGAACCCATGATTTCTTAAGCATTTCGCAGGGTGTACTGATACCATGTGTGCGTCGCCCCACCAGGGGCGACGCGCGCACCGAGAAATCGTATAGTATGTGCGTTGTGGAGGGTGCTTTCTGGCCACGCCGCTCGAGAAACGATATATACTACCAGACGGGTATACTCTCTCTTCGGGTCGGGCGCCCGCCTCCCAGGAGGACATGCAGTACTGGTATGTCCTTGTGCGTCCCAAAGGGTGCTCTGCTGGGGTAGTGTTCACGCCTGCGGCCGCCAGGCAGACGAAGGCCGCTCGATCTGGCACGCCCCACCGCGAGGGGGGACGGTATCGACCTGAAGAGGGAAGGGTACCGCTACCGCTCCCCTGGCCTCGTTTCCGTTCTCGGGGGCCCTCCAGTGGAGGCCCTCGTCGCCACTGCCGATGGCCGAACCTTTCTCGCTTTGGGCAGCCTCACGTATGCCCACGCGCACGACAAGGTCAGGTTATCCGCGGGGGGGGGCGGGGCTGGCGGGCCCGGTAACCCGGTTGATCTCCGGACCCTACAAACAGTTTCGAAGTCTGAGGAGGGAGAGGTATCGATACCGCTACTCCGGCCGCGTTCAGGCCTTTCGGGGGCCTCCAGGGGGGGAAAAGGGGCGCCACGCCTGGAGTCGCCTCGAAACCCTGGGCAGCGGACGCGCCCTTGGAGAGGCCCCCGGACTTGCAGCAGGGTTAGATCCCTTCAGATCTGACGTCGCCAACAAAAATTCAGCATCACAAGAAATCCCCACCTGAGCCCCGGACCCAATCTTTGTGGCTTTCTTTTCGAGCCTGATCGCTCTGTGAGGGTCCTGGGGCCCGAATAGCCGAGCGAAGCCGCCCGTTGTGAAACAGTCGCCACGCCAGGGTTTTCTTGTGTTTGTGCCCTCATATATCAGGTGATCGCAGACATGGATCAAGGGGGCGTGGATCAGCGACGGGTCCTGCTTCCATGGGACATCGCGCATTGCCGCCGCCGAGCGAGGCGCCACCTGCCGCAGTTTGGGTCGGTGGAATTGGCGACCGCGCGCCAAATCCGTGGATCGCAGCGATCCATGGGGCTCTATCGGGGCTCTACTTGGCTTTACCGGAGGAGCCTAATGGACCCGAATGAGACCTCCGAGGGGCAGTTCATGGCCACTCGTGTGGCCGCGGGCACAGTGACCCGAACAGTCCGCGTGACAAGACAGAGCGCCGTAAGCACGTCCCTATGGATCGCTAGTCCACGTCTGTGCACCCCCGAGCACAGGCCCTGCCGCCCGCTTTCAGCGCGCCGGGCGTGCCCCCGTCTCTGCCGCCAGCCGCGCCGCCGGGCGCCCGGGCGTCGGCGGCGCCCGCGGCGCGCTCGCCCGCCGCGCCAGCGTCCGCTCCACCGTCCGCGCCCGCCCCGGCGCTGGCGGCGCCCCCGGCGGAGGCGTGGCCGCCTCTGCCGTGCGAGGGGAGGAGCACCACCCACCAAACCACCCCAACCCAACCCGAAGGCTTCAATTTGCCAGTGGGGGGGGTCGAGGAACGCTGAACAAACACCTGGAACCCGTACCCCCCCAACCCGAAATTCAGGTCAAATTCGGGTCTTCGGGTTGGGTTGGGGTGGTTTGGTAGGTAGTCAGAAAGAGCACGAGGACCATGGCCAAGATGTCCCCAGACCTCCTGGCGCTGTGACAAAAATCACGACGGGAGTTTTTTGTTGTTGCTATTTTTTGCCACTGGGGGCTCCTCCCGGGCCTCGGGACCGTAACAAAAACGACTCGGGATGGAAAACCGGTCCCAGGGAAGGGGTCCAGACCTCCTGGGGTCGACGTTATGAAACAGTCGCAACGTCGGGGGTCTGGGTGGCAGGCGAGCTCATAGGAGGAAGAGGTTTCCATACCGCCATCCTTCCCCCATTTTCGCCTTTCTCCTGCATGGAGGCCCTCGTCGCCACCGGGGACTTTGCTTCGCAGTTGGGAGTGGTCCAGGGAGTAGCGGTATCAGTACCTTTGGATTGCCTCACTAGCGGGAAGGCCCCGATCCCAGACCCCCTCGCGTTGTGAAAAGAGCACGACAGAAGGTTTTTCGCAATTTCTGCCTCTGGGTGCCCGCACCGGGTCTCGGGACCGTCCAAACATTATTCTGGATGAAAAACCGGTCCCGTGGAATGGGTCGAAACTTCGGTTGGCATCTGAACAAAATCATGACGTCGGGGGTCGAGAGTAAGGGTACATTAAGCTGGATTTGTCCGGATCCAGCCCGGGATTCAGCACTACGGTGAGCCCGATTCAGCTGGATCTTTAGTGGGATGAAAATGTGTTGGGCCAGATTGGGCCGATTTTGGGCTACAGATGCTGAACGTAAGTTCCAACGAGTAGCTGCTTCCTAACGCGGTATCTTGTCGACGCCGATTTGGGTGATGGTCCATGCTGGCCGCCGCCGATTCGCAAGCATGACCCACGATTCCACGATGACCGAGATGGACGTTGACCACGATCGACACCGACGTATCCGCGTTCAGTCTTGGTCACGGTCCTCGTGCTGTTTCTCTCCAGCGGGTGTGTACGCCCTCGTCTGCGCTGTTCCTGGTGTCGCCCGCTGGGGCGCGAAGCTGAAACTCGCGCCTCGCCAGGCGCGGTCTTCAGGGGCAACGCACCGACACCCCATCGACCACTGATCGCCGACATGGGCCCGCTAGCCCGCCCCGCCCGGGCGTATGCAGATTTTGCGATGTCAGACCCTGAAGTCCGACCTATTGGCGATGGGTCGCCGATTCCAGCTCGATGCGTGGAGCTGGAATCGGCCTCCTTGGGCTTGTCCCCCCCCCCCCCCCCTAATGTTGCCCCTCAGGTCTGGGCCACGGTGGTTGCTCTTCTCCGAGGGAGTGGCGCGAACCCGCGATAGCGTGAATATGACCCAGACCCCTGACGTCGTGATTTTGTCATGGTCCTCTCCGCGCCGAAGCAATTTCCTCGAGCGTCCCTTCCTTACCCAATCCCATACATGTAACACTTTCAAGATTCACGGTAGGTTCGCGTCGTGTCGACCAGCGGCGACCCCGCCGCCGGTGTTCCACGTTGAACGCCGCTGGCGACCCGGTTTCGGTCGATGTTGAACGATCTCACGTTTTTGGAAAACGGCCGATCGTTCGAGATTGGAAGATGGAACGATCCAGCGCGGTGTCAGACACCAGCGCCAGGGTTGGCACCACACCACCCTACCGTACCCAGACCCTCGACGTTGCGACTGTTTCACAACGTCGACCCCAGGAGGTCTGGACCCCTTCCTCGGGACTGGTTTTCCATCCTGAGTCGGTTTTTTTTTTACGGTCCCGAGGCCTGGGAAGAGCCCCCAGAGGCAAAGAATAGCAACAACAAAAAACTCCCGTCGTGATTTTTGTCACAACGCGAGGAGGTCTGGGGTCGGCGCGACACCACCCTACCGTGCTGAGCTGCTGGCTCCCCCAACGCTGACGTGGGCGATGCTCCTTGCACTGCTGCTCGCGGCGGCGGCCGCCCCCGCCCCTGGCGCCGCGCTCAGCGAGGGGAGCCTCGGCCAGCGCGCGCGGCTGCGCCCCGGCGGCAATGCCAGCAGGCCTGAGTGGGGCCTGTCTCTCTACTGGAGGAACATTCAAACATAGTAAAAAAAAATAGTCCAGGGACGATTTTCTCCTGCATTTTTGGTTTATGTTTGGGGCATTGCTGGGGTATGTTCAATTTTTCGTCCAAAAGCCCCCTGTAGGGAGGCATGCCCGACCTAACAGCAGGCCGCGCGTGCTCTTCTTTGTCACGACGTACGCGTCCGACGAGCACATGTCGTACATGAGGTGCCAGGCGGAGGAAAAGATACCCATACCGCCACCCTTTCCTCGTTTTCCCCTTTCTGGGCCTCCTCGCAGGCCCTCGTCGCCACTATCGGATTCGCCTCGCACCCCGGGAGAGGTCCTGGGAGTAGCGGTATCCGTATCTTTTGGTCTCCCCAAAGGTGCCAGGCGGACCTCTACCGGCGCGCGCCGGGGCTGCGGGAGGCGGACGTGCTCCTGCACGTCGGCGAGGACGAGGCTCGGGAGACGAAAACACACATACAGGGACAAATATTCGTCGATTCCAAGGCATTATATATATATATATATATATATTTATATATATATGTATATGTATATATATATATATATATATATATGGGAACAGAGGGTAAGTCTGGGGGGGGAGACGAAAAGCCAGGGAATCCTGGGGGTTGGGGGACCCTGGGAATTGTGACTCTTGCTCTGTGTGTCCCTGGGGCCCCTTGCGAGAGGCGTCCGCGGCGAAGCGCACCCTGCAGTGTGCCACGGACGCCTGCGTGCACTCCAGCCGCGCGGCGTGGCAGGAGCTGCTGAGCGCGTGGCCCATGCCCGCCAAGACGGTGAAGTTCTCCCGCAATCCAGGCAATCTCGGGGGTGGACAGACCTCCTACCCTGACACGTCGATTAGCGAATTGGCCGTTTTCGGTTCGCGAGAGGGCGTCGCGGCCGTCATTTTTGCGGGTCCAGGTCCGTCGGTTTCGGTCCCAGGCCGTTTTCACTAAGGGGAGGTTATTTAAGGGAGGCTTGTCCACCGCCGGCAATCGGCGGCGGGTTTCGAGGTCCGAGGACGAGCTTCGACCTCCAGGATTTTCGGGCGCATTCGTCGGCTCTCGGCGGCTTCCTGGCCTGGGGATGCTTGCCAGCAGCTGCGCCTCGCCGAGGATGTTCCGGGGGTGCCCGGATCGTCCCGAGCTGCCGCCAGCGACCCGAGTTAATTATGACCCAACGACGAAGTTCGTCGGCGCGCGAGGGGGGGAAGCGAGGGGGAGAAGGCCTGCTCAGAAGGCGGCGGGACTCCTCAAGAAGCCCTCGCGCCTTCTGCGAAGTCTTCTGTGTCGCCGGGGAATGCTTGGAAGAATTCTCGGAAAGCCGGGGGATTGCCGAGCCTTCTGAGAAGGCCCGCCCCTTCTCATTTCCCCCCCCGAGCGCGCCGCCGAGGCAAGCAGGGTGGTGCGAAGAAGGCGATGCACGACGCTTTGACCTCTGGCTGGTTTCGGGGGTATGATTGGGTGATACGCGCGAACCCTGACGTGATCTTCTATGATGATAGTCAGTTATTCTCTCTCATGGAGAGCTCGAAGAATTGGGCGGTGGTCATGAAGTGCGGCGGCACTCAGACCAACACGGATTTTTTCGCGGTTCGGCCAGATCGCGTGTCAGTAGACGCTTTCTCGGAGTGGAACTCAACACCCCCCGACGCCGAGGGGCTGACGAACCAGGCGTTCCAGCAGATTTATAAAGAGGACGCTTACGCTTTCCTCAAGCCTGGGGGCCACCAACTTGGATGCCACCTAATGGACGGAGGCGTGTATCACGCCGCCAGGCTCCCGACGTGCGAATTGGTGCTGGATCAACAAGGTTGGCAGCAGTCTTTCAAGGGTGGCATCAAGGAGTACGACCACAGACCCATGGGAAATCCTTGGCAAGAGGCTTGGCGGCTTGGGTCTTAGGATAGCGGATAATTACGTTTGTTGTTCATCTCTTCCTGAATCGATGGCAGGAAACAGCGCTTATTCTGTGCCAGGAGCCGGCCAGACGCGCCCACAAGAGTACCCAGTCCTTGGCAAGAGTCTTGGCGGCTTGGGTCTTAGGATAGCGGATAATTACGTTTGTTGTTCATCTCTTCCTGAATCGATGGCAGGAAGCAGCGCTTATTCTGTACCAGGAGCCGGCCAGACGCACCCACAAGAGTACCCGGTACCCGAGAGGGCCCCCAAGACCTGCTCCAGGAGAACACCGAGATGTCCCTAGAGAGAGGTTCCCGGGATTCCCATGGGTTCGCGAAGGGGGGTGCAGGGGGGGGGGGAGGTTCTATAGGACGAAGCCAGAGGAGGAGGAGGAGGAGGAGAGAGGAGGAGGAGGGAGGAGGAGGAGGGGGAGGGGGGAGGAGGAGGAGGAGGAGGAGGAGGAGGAGGAGGAGGAGGTCCCCGTGGGACTCACCAGTCTCTGATGTGCGGAGGTCCCATGGGGCCCGGGCAGGCCTGCAGGACACGGGCCAAGCCTCTGGACCCCGCTTCTGTTGCCGTCCTCCTTCCTCCTCCTCTCCTCCTCCTCCTCCTCCTCCTCCTCCTCCTCCTCCTCCCCCGGCCTCCCAGGATCTGGCTTTTGGACCCCAGGATGACGCGAGAGAAGTAAGTACAGCTCTTCCGAGGGCGCCAAGGCGGCCCCAATGACGTCCATCCCGCCCCGCTCCTCGGTATCCAGCTGCCTGGAGCAGTCCCGCCACCGTGCCAGCCCAGCGTTCTGGATAGCAACTATTCCAGAGGGCGCGGGAAACCATCACACATAACACCTTTCATATATCCAACCTTGGAAGAACCGTGATGAGCATGATACAGATGATAAGGCTGATGGAGTTGATGATGATGAGTATGATGATGATGACGATGATGCTGATGCTGATGACGTTGCAGATGATGGCGATGATGCTGCTGATGATGCTGAAGATGAAGGTGAAGATAGAGATAATGATGATGATGCTGATTGTGATGATGATGCAGATGATGGTGGTGGTCATGGTGATCATGATGATGAGCATGGTGGTACTGTTCATGAGTATGAGGATGAGGATTGCGAATGCGGACGATTCTGCTGTTGATGATGCAGTTTACGATGATTATGATGGTGATGGTGATTCTGATGACGATGCCGGCAATGATTGTGTTAATGACGATGGTGATGGCCATGGTGATGATTATGGTGTTGGTCATGGTGATGGCGATTGCGGTGGCGGTGATGATGTTGTAGCTGATGATGATGATGATGATGATGGTGATGATGATGATGATGATGATGATGATGATGATGATGGCGAGTTGCTGTTAATGTTGCTGTTGATAATGGTGATGTTGATGATGATACTGATGATGATGATGATGATGATGATGATGATGCTGTTGTTGCTGCTGCTGGTACTGATGATGCTGATGATTGTGATGGTGGTGATGACGGTGAGTATCATGATGATGATGGTGATGATGATGGTCATGACGATCATGATGATGCTGAGTACGATGCTCACGATGATGACGATGAGGATGTGGAGGAACAGGAGGATGAAGAAGAAGGCCGTCACAGGTGACGCCCTCCGTCATCATGACCTAAAGAACTATCATGCAACTCGCTTGGGCCGTCTTCGGGCTGCCATGGCCTGTGGAAGCGGTCTAAGGGGTCATGTGGGGTCCTGTTTTTGGCCGTCTTGGGGCGCTCTTATAGGTCGCGTTGGGGCTCTCTTGTGCCATCTTGGGGTCGTCCTGGCCGTATGGTTGGTGTCTGGGGGCCGTCTTGGCGCTGTCCTGTGCAGTCGAATGGCTTTCTAACACAATATTGGGTCCCACGGGAGGCCTTCTAGGGCTGTTTTGGGGTTGTCGTGGATATCTCTTTGGCTCTCGCGGGTCCTCCTGGGCCATCTTTGGACCCTCGTAGGGGTCCCTTGGGCAGTGTTGGGGCCATTGTGGAGACTTCTTGGGCAGCCTTGACCTGCCGGACGCCCGAAATGCTAGAATTCGGACACCATTCAAACACCGAGAATGACATCAATGATGGTGGTTTCTGCAAACCTTGTTGGAGGTCCTCTTGTGGCCTGTTGTGCTTTCTTGGCGGCACACTGGGCCGTCTGGAGACCATGGCCGCCTTGGGACAATGTGGTTGTTACTTATCCTAGGTCACTCCGTCTCCATCGCCCTCTTTCTTTTTGTTTGATGTCTCTTTCTTTACCTCTCTCTCTCTCTCCCCCCCGTTCGCTCTGTCTGC